GAAGATCTCATATCTCATACAACTTCTTATTAAGGAAGAACCATAGTATATTGGAATATAGATGGTATGCCGAGGCATACATGGTCATATGTTTCATGGTGTCTAAAATCTGATGTTCAGACATACCATCTATATTCCAATTTACTATGGTTCTTCCTGAATAAGAAGTTGTATGAGATATGAGATCTTCTTCAAATTGGATATCTACAGGAGTTGGACTTGGGTGATATGGTCTAGCTGTAGCTGGTCTTCAATTTCTTCCATATGATATTCTGTTAATAAATTGGTTATTTTTGCTACTTTCAGTAAATGCTATTTCCATATTTTCTATAGTATCATTTATTATAGGTTCTTCTTCTTGAAGAGTTAATGTTTCAGATTCTTGAATTTTTAATTTACCTTTTATATCTTTAGTATTGTCTTTTATATCAAGTTTAGATAATTTAGATATTAGTTGATCCATTAGGGTTTTATTATTGTCACCTATATGGAATGTTTCTTTGTTTAATGTAGGTGGTAGTTTAAATAATACTGATTTTTGTGATTCTTGGATTGGAACTGGTCTGAGCATATTTTCTATTCTTAAGGTTTGCCTTCCAATAGATTGCATATATAAATTAGTATAATTATTTTGTTCTATAATATGTGGGATCAATTCTGTTCTATGAACTCTTTCTCCAGAGGTCATTTTATATGGAGTAGCCTTTGTTTCTAATGTAGGAGTATTATCAGTTTCTTTTTCTTTGATAATTAAACTTCTTTCTGGGGGATGTACACTAGTAATTTTATTTCCTTCTATTGTATCATAATTCCTATATTGACTTTCTAATGTATGTATTTCAAAGTTAAGAATTGGAATTTTTCTTTCTTCTAATAATTCTCTTAACGATATGAAAAATCCTTTGTTTTGTTTTTCTTGTTTCAAAAATTTATTGTATTTTTTATGAAATAGTTCTACTAATCTTGGTTCAAATCTTTTAAGATACCATTGTCTTATTTCTTTATTTTCATCTGATAAATAGTCTGCTTCTATATAAGCTATATCTATTTTTTGTTCTTCTAATACTAATACATGAAAATCCATTTCTGAATCAGAAAATTCTGACTCTCCTTTGGCTTCTTTTTGCATTGGTTTATATTGGGGTATTACAATGTTTTCCCTAGTTCGTATTGTTCCTTGCAATTGAGGTTTCAATGATGAACTAGATGCAGAAGAGAGTGAATATCTTGATGGTTCCAATTTTATCTTAGGTGTATCCAATTCATCTTCATTTTTAAATTTTAATATTTTATTGGATCCTGCAAATTTTATTTCTATATTACCATCTATGTGTTCAATTATTTTATCAAGAATGTTATTTGAAGGTATTTGATGATGGATATTTTCATTCTGAATTGACCAAGATTCAGGTAATATAATTTCTGACCATTTTATTGTTTTTGGTATTATAGTGTTGGATTTTTCTATATTAGTTTGAAATAAAATAGTTCTTCCTTTGGTATCCATTTGTACTACCTTAGGACATTAAGTATTCATAACTTTATAATATATTCTATATATTATTGCTATATTTTGTGATCTTGGGATCATATCAAATCCTTGAGTTTTTACATTTAGTGTTAAGACATTTAGTATATTTGGATCATTTAATGAAACTGAGTAATTAGGGAAACAGCTAAAATACATCGGTCCACTGCATAAGCTAGATTCTACTATTCCTAATAAGGAATCATTAAATTTATTATGTCTAGTATCTCTAAGACATACTAAGATTGAATTATTGAGTCCTAATCTTGCTAATGGTTTAATAGCTACTTGGATAAGTCCTATATGTAAATAGTTATAATTTTTATTCTTATGTACTTGTATAATTTTATTTGATAATAATTGAAAGTTTTCTTGAGTACTAGTTATTGATAAAGATTGTTCTACAGTTTTAATTGCATAACCTATTTTTAAATCAAAAGATCCTACTTGGTATAAATTAGATATAGGTACCTTTGGTATGGTCCAATTTTGTAATTGGTTTTCTATATTATCAATAAGAATTTCTTCCTTGTTTTTTATTTTAAGAATATTATTATTTTGAGGTAACGCTTTACTAGATAGATTCCTAATGAAATTTTCCATTATTAGGTTGTGGATGAGTGCTTTCTAGCTACCTCTTACGTCTTTTTGACCTCAGCGGCTCTCTTGGCCTTAACGGTCTCTCAACTGGGTGCTCTTAGCCTCAACTCTCGGACCAACTTTCTCTAATGGTAAATTTAATTAGGTTTTTGCCTAATAGAGTATTTCTCAAAGTAATAATTTCCTTAGAATAAAACTTAGAAGGTTTTCTGTTTAGGGTTGGCTCTGATACCAAATTAAGCCAAGATCATGACAGTGTCTAAATCCAATGTGAGTCAATGAACATTGGCAATGGATCAGCCTTATGTTTTTGGCTTTGAGATCTATTGTACGATTTAAGGATTATGGTTTCATAGATATAACATTCCTTGGCTACCACTCCATGTTCCATGATATGACTGAGCATGTTGAAGTAGGTTATCCTTTACATAAGAGAGAATAATTACTTGATGCCGTCAATGTCCTGTATCTTTCTATAATATAGTGTATCCCTGATTTAATTATCAATCTGGACTTTGGTCGAATGAAATCCACCCTCAGCTTTTATGTAAATTCTCTTTCATCATCATAGACTATCTAATACAAGAGAGCAAGTATTTGAGTATATTTGCACATAAGATATCTCATCTTGATTGAGGATATTTATGTGATATGTATTTTTATATCCCAGTGATGGTAACTCAACTTTTTTGTGTACAACATTCTGTGCCTGAGCATATAGAAAATTGTCCATCAAGTTTGGACAATGGAATTTAGCCTCTGCCCCATGTCTGCCATCATCATCATCATCATCATCATCATCATAATATTTTCCCAACTAGTTGTGGTTGGCTATACGAATTTTGGCTTGCCATTATGTTCTATCAAGGACTATACCTCAATGAGGCCATAAGTCTGCACATCTTTTCTCATTACTTCTAACCATGCTCTTTTGGGCCTACCCCTTGCCCTTTTTGAGCCTTCCACTTTGAGCACTTCCTAACTGGTATCGTATTTAGTCGGTGCTGCTGCACATGGCCAGCCCATCTAGATCTATTTTTTCTCATCTTATTGCTTATTGGAGCCACACCTAAATTCTCCTTAGTATATTCATTTCAAATTCTATCCCCTCTTGTCTTGCTACTCATCCATCGCAACATCCTCATCTCAGCTATACTCATCCTATGAATATATTGTTTATTGACTGCCCAATATTCGGCCTCATAAAGTAAAGCTGGTCTCACAGTTGTCCTATAGAACTTCCTCTTCAGTTTCATTGGTATGCGACAATCACATAAAACTCTGGTGGCATATCTCCACTTTGTCCACCCAGCTCTAATTCTATGGGCGACATCTTCACAATCTCTCCATTTTCTTGGATTATTGACCTAAGATATCAAACGTATACGAAAGTTTTGGCAAAATTTTATGTTGGCTGCCTAGTTAACTTAACCCACCTCCTTTATTTGGGCTTGGGGTGGATTTAGGTAATGTGATTTAGGGAAAGTTGAAGGTCCTCATCCTTCTTTGACCAATGCCCTATATCTGCTCTTGTATCCATAATCATTCATCAGTGCTGCATGTCTGTTAATAGTACTCTAGGGAAACCACTACCAAGTCTGATGTCTTGCAAAAATCATCAAGTCATGCTAGAATCCATGTTTGGAATATGCTTCTTCATTAGACACTTTGAGCGATGCGTTCATTACACGACCTATCAATAGAGAGTTTCTTTAGCTAGATGCTTACTTGGACCTAGCATGCCTGAGAATATTATACTATACTAGATTTTAGAGAGAACTGCTTTTGCAAAATATAGAAGTGAACACATTGTCATGTTCGTATGGGTTTCAACTTATAGGTTATCGATGAACATCTTGATGTTTCTTTGGGTAGCATTATATTGGGGAATGTTGTATGCAGGGCTGGAGAGAGTCACATTTGATAGATTTGAGGTAAAACTGATGTAATAGGGGTGACTAGAAACTTAAAAAGCTAGCATATCCATATTTATCATCTCTTTGATCTGGTAGTTTGGTGCTGAATGGAAATGGACTAGCATGGATTTCATTTCTTCTCATTGATCTCAAGATTCTTGATCTTTATGACGTATGCACTCTGCTGTGACTATAAAGATTTTTCAAATATTAGAATACATATATCATTTGACTCATAGTTCTTTGTTTTTGACTCAATGTCTGTAATTCAACAGTATAGTGGCTTTTAAGAATCCTCTACTAGTTATCTTAATTGAATACTAATTGCTAATGTCAATTATCTTTTCAGATTCAGTTATATACTCATTTAAATGTAGACCTTATAGCATATTTTCCTGTAGGTGTTGTATGTTATAAACCATGGATATGATTTAGTTCCATTGGGTGTTCTCTTTGTTATATTAAAGTCTGTAGTCTCATTTATTGTCAGAATGAGAAGTGTCTTAGAATTTCAAGCATTTATTGCATTAATTTGTTTTTAAGCTTGTAAGGATTGAACATAGTGGTTTGGACTTCTGGTTTCGATATCATTTTCTGGTGCATTATGCTCAGTTCGATAATGTTTCTATTAGTATCTGGAATGCACTCTAAGGCCGGATATTACTTCATCAAGAATAGGACTGATATATTTTTTTTTCACTGAAGAATCTCTCTCTCTCTCTCTCATGCGCGCACTCACTCACACACAATACCCCCAAAGCACCAATTCATTCTGGGAAAAGAACTGCACAATTTCACTCGAAGAGTCCCCTCTTAAACATTCTCAAAATGTTCATTTGCCTTCTAGTTTCACTGTGCTACTGTTGAATGTTGATATTCCTTTTGTGTAAAATACTATCTCAACCTGTATAATATAACTGTTTCTGGCTCCTTTGTTTTTTTCCCCTTCTGAACAGTGGTTAACGGGCTGGGAATTAATGCTATCACCATGACTGTTGGAACATTGGCCCTCACTTGTGGTTGGTATCTTGTGAGTAATTCCACGTCTTACTCGTAATCCATTCTTTTCACTTTCAGTTGGAAGACAGTTAATATCTCTATTGATGTAAGTTGAACTTTTCTGGAAATTTGACATCTAGTTAATGAGAAAGGTTTCCTTTTCTAATTTGTATTTGCTGGTGTTATTTCGCAGTCGTGGCTACGGGTTTCACAACGTTTTCACACCATCAGCCAAGTTTTGGTTGGGACTTTGTTGGGGTCATTGTTAGGAATTACGTGGTTTTTTCTATGGCATAGGATGGTGTCGGTATTGTTTCTTTCATCTCAATTTGTTCGAATCATTGTCTTTGTAGGATCTGGAATATTTTGTCTGGGTTTCGTGTTCAACGTTGCTAAAAAATGGAGCATTTATGACGATTAACGTCAATTTCTATTATGTGCGTCTTTTTTCATTCAGCTACTTTTTTTGTTAAGGACTTACTAGTTTCCAATGTAAAAATTAATTTACATGAAAGGGAAACATAGGGGTGACAATGGGCTGGGGACAAGGTCATGACAGGGAAACCCCAGCCCTAACCAGGCGAGGGTTAGGGCATCTTCGACCCAGTCAGGGCAGGTTGGATTGGGCCAGGCTAGGATCAAGGCTTGCCCAGCCAAAGCTTGACACGTCGCCCGCCTTTTGGAAGCATGTTACTGCTCGCCGGCTATTGAGAGAGAGAGGAAGAGAGAGAGAGGGAGGGAGATGAATTTTAGGGTGACTTTTTATGGCCCACAAATTATGTTTGATCTTAATTGGATGCCCTCAGTCATCGGGCATAAACTGGATGATCGGCCTCTTTTGTTGGGTTGCTGCTATGGCGGGCTTCACACATGTCAAGCAAGCCATTCAATCATAAGATTGTATCCATTTAACACAATTTATGTGCGGGGTGACACGTGGATTTACCTTTTATTGTTCTCGAATTATTTGGGAAAATCGTAATGAAGCAGATGGAATTATTGTTGACAATATAATCGCAAGGCGTTATACAATTCACAATCACAATCACTATTAGCGGTTAGATGTGAAATTCGGGAGATGCGAGTGTCTAGTTGATTGTCCTTGAAGTCTAAAAATTATTTATTGAACTTTGTAAGGCACTTTTAGTAGTTGAATTTTACCTCTGGTTAGGGGTGATTGTGATTGTTGATCCGTTATTCAAGAAGTAAATGGTCTTATAATATGCAATTTATATTATCATTTTTTGCTAGGTCATTCAAAGGATGTGGTTTTTATGAGTTGGTTGACTCATACGTTGATATGCACTCTCTCTTTATAATCTAATTTTGAGTTGGATTTTGAACTTAATTTTTTAAGGATATCTAATCTCTAACACATGAAGCATTGTTAAAACAAATAATTTAAAAAGATTTGAAAATGAAGAAAAAGTTTTGACCATCAGTTTCGTTTCAATGTGGGACCAACATTTTCTCGCATCCATCATTACGATGCATCCCTGGCGCACAAAGCACTTTTCCTTAATTAAAATACAATGAAAAGTCTTTGGAAAAGTTATTTGGGACACAATGTTTCTTACAAAATATTCAAGAAAATGGAATGGGAAAAGTTTATATAGAGCCGAGGCTCTAAACAATAAAATTGGAGCCAATCACAAAAATTTCACTAGAAGGGGTTGTTTTGATGTCCAAATATCTTCAAATTGACCATCTCGACATCAAGATACATGGACATGAGAAAAAAATGGATTTCAAGTTTTGAAAATAGTATATTTTATCCATCTATATTATTTTTGAAGCTTTAAACTTTATAAATAAAGGTGAAAATATATTTTAAGGCTATTACAAAGATTTCTGATATTGAAATGAAGTTTCTTGATACTATTTGAAGGTAGGTTCTAATTTGATAATTTAGAGCCTAGGCTCGACCTGAAGTGGGGCCAATAAAACCCTTTTGTGTAAGAACAATTGTAAAGAGTCCACAAGCATATACATATTTGTACTACTTTATTGAATGGAAATATATGTGATAAGACCATTTATTTTTTAGAAGGTCACAATCACTATTGAGCATTAGATGTAAAATCAGATGGTTAGTGATGTGTCATTGACTAAGCACAAAGTCCAAAATAAAATTTATTGAATGCTACATTTCAATTATTGGATTTCACATCCAATGGCTAAAAATGATTGTGATTTTCCTTTACTAAAAATAAATGGCCTCATATTATACACTCCCTTATTGAATTTATCTCTCTCATTGGAGGCTAGTTCTTTAAACTGACAAGCTTATATGGGTGAGTTGAAAACTTTCAGCTTTGACGAAGCAAGAGGCGAGATCGCAACAACATGGCGCATACACACATACACATGCCCACGAGCGGCTAAAGAACCATGCCATGAGGCCATGGGCATGGTTCCTGGACGAATGACTAAGCTTATGGAACTTGGTAGATCACTGAGACCAACGTGCTTAGGCATGGTTAGTCAGAATATAGGGAGCTTGACTTGAAGGGACATTAGTGTGACATGTACAAGGTGTATCTGACCTTACTCCTACCGGGTAGGTATGTTGACTTTAGAGTGAGGGAATTCGAATTTGTAATGTGTAATTGCCCTGAGCATAGGATTATGTAATGATCATGAGTTATGTGAGAGTGGTTTTGAGCATATAAAGTGGATTAAATTAGCATAATCAACCATGTAATGACCATGCATGTTTGAATTGACATGTATAAGAAATTATGACCCATGGAGTGGGTTAACCAGACGTGTAACCCCTTCCCACCTTAATGAGCCATGCAAGCAATCCTTGAGGGGGGAAAGTGAATTGTTATATTCGCCATGCCAAGTGGTGTGTAGTAATGGTGTGCAAGCCTTTACAACCGATGTAAATGTGGATAATTGTGTGTGTATATATTCTAGCCATATAAACCTCTTGCTCAGGCCCCTCAGAGGCATTTGTGGCTTGGAACGAGCAAGTGTATAGAGAAATGAGAGTAGATTACACGCTTGCCTAAAACTTGTTTGCCACCCTTATTTGCACTTTCCTCTTGTGTAGCTTTGTAGAATACTGGCCTTACTTTTGTCAAGGTTCAATTTATGATTGTTGCATTGGTTCGCTAAGTGAAATTTTAGTCCAGTGATAGTTGGTACTAGAGCTAAGTTGGCATTCAAGCATGCTTCAATGGTCATGGTTGGTGATGTCTCAATAGAAAAAATTGGAATCGTCAACTACCTTGAGGAGCATTGGGAGCAAACCATTCCTAAGGAGCCTAAGTTGGTGGGTTGGGCATGACCTCCTTACTTTTGAGGCCCGGATCAATGTATTGGAGGCCAATGTGGAGAACAAAGTGGTGCCTATGATGCTCGTATGGGAAGGCTCATGGATGACCTCAAAGCCTTCATGGACTTCCTTCAGGCAAATCCATGAGCCTGAAATAAGACATGACACTTGTCAATAAGGCCTTGTCTAAATCTATGAGTGGCTAGACACTCCTAATGTGTGGATGTTGGAGCCCAGGGTATTCAAAGGAGTATCAGACTCCAAGGTGTTGGAGAACTTCTTACCATGCTTGTGGAGAGGAATGAGTTGGCATTCATACCATGTGCCTCCTTGGAGATGTGAAGCTTTATGATAGAATGTAAAAAAAGGACGGGTAAAGGCTAACTTAGGTACTTATGAGACCTTAAAACTGAAGTAGTATCGAGGGAATCACTCAAGATATGTAAAATAAAAAATTTAAAAAGACGTTACATAATCTTTCATTTCACGTTACGAAAACCTCAATTTACTAAAAATTATAAGATTATACAGTAGTCTTCAATAACAACAATACCTTTACAATTTGAGCATAGCTCTTAACAATTCAAATGAAATCAAATACATCAAAATAACGACTAAAGTAGTAATATGCATGAGCTTAATGAATCTTATGGGAAGCATATTTTAAAATAACCACTATACAAATACCGCAATAGGATGATCACAACCCTTGACTATCACCATTACCGATAGAGCAAGGAAGGTGTCATTTCGATCTAATATTGAGAAGCAACTATCTTACCACCACATGACATAGTTCTCATTCTCATATGGATCTCAAAAACAATATAACATTGGGAATAAAACTATATGAAACAAAAGGGGAGAATTCTGAGCTAAAATGGGTCGAAACGAAATAGTTTTGGTCCCAAGGACTTATTCAAGGTCCAAACCACTATGAAGCCAAAATAGTTAAGCTTGGTGCGTGGAGCTAAGAGAGAACTCACTATTATGCTTCATATGTCAGCCTTTTCAGCAACATTGAAGTCACAACAATTTGCATAAAATGATTTTAAAACTACACCAAGAATGCACAAAAGGAAATGCTTTATTGTCATTATTTACAAGCTGATCAAGAATTGCTTACTGTTATTATGAATTATGCCAGCCAATCTTTGACATAACATTAGCCATAACTGAATGAGAGGTGTGTGATGAGCTTGTAAACATCATACCTTCATCATGAGTGAAAGGCATGCTATAATGAAGGAGGTAGGTAACTCTATTCATGGATGAATAAAGAGAGTTGTGAGTAGGGTGTGAGGCCCTTTGGGGAGAAGAGATAATGAGCTTAAAGTGAAAACATCAAACTTATAATGAAGTGAGAAGATGTCTCATTTATAAACTTTTCATGTGGGGTATAAATCTTAGATTAGATCTCAACTACCCATATAGTAATCAAAAGGTTGAGAGAGGTTAAAGACCTAGCCTAATCAATTACCATTGATGGGTATTATATGTACAATGATGATGGAGTACACGGTTATCACCATACCCACGTAACACCTCCACAAATTTTAGCAGCATCTTAAGTGCCCTTCAACTCTAATTTTCAAAATCAATTCATCTTAACAATTAATTTTTCAATCATCAAATTGCCACATTAAATTTAATAAGGTCTTTATAAAACCCTAATGGGGGTGATGTGCCACCCCATGCTTCATCAGTTGTAATACTTACTTCACACTTAAGCTCATGTAAGGCCATTATTAAAAGGGGGACCTTACATCACCTTATATCATGATGTGTCCTTTGTATCCTCTTCACACCAATCAAATCCCTTCATTTCAAATATCTAAGGTACTATCAAATGATAAAATTAGGAGTTTATATCGATTTATAAAATGTAAAATATTTACACTCCCATATGTGAATACATATATGTCATCACACATGTGTCGAGTTTCCACGTCGTGCCCATTGTGCAATGATGTGGCTACACTATGGGATGCACGTGTAGCACACATTGGTCATTTGTGTGCCACACGCTACATGTGTGGATGTTTTTAATTTGAATTAGCACACAACTATTTTAACCAAGCAGTTTTCCTTTGAAATAAAGTTTTAAAAAATTATCTAAAATCACGATAAATCATTTTTGATAAATTCTTATAAAAAAATATGGCCTGACACT